TGCAATCCATCCGACACTTAAAACTACAAACCTAAAACTCATCGTGAACGAAGAAAAGTCAGCAGAGCATAAAATTCTGAACCATCTGGGGACCATGAATCCATCCAATCATCCATCCAGTAGCTGCTGAAATATGATAAGGCAGCAAAGTGGCGAATCAGAAGAGATCTTTGCAGATAGAGAATCCCAGCGCAGAGAAAGAGGCACATCTCAAAATGATTAACTGAGTTTGTTTTGACTTCCCCTCATGTAGAAACACTTGACGGATGAGCTCTCGCTTGTGTTTTTCTCTGTCAGACAAATCAGAGGAACGATTACAAGCGCTGATCGATTCCTCGACTGATCTCCTTCAGTAGTGACACGACATTAATCACACGTGTCGACGCGGCCGACGGGTCTGAGACGGCAGCTCGTGATTTACCTTCTGCTCGGTTTATCGCACTGAACGCTCTCCACGTTGGAACTTGCCTCGCTCAGGCGCACGATTAAACGAAAGCCGATACTGCCGGTGTGTAATTTGCCGTCCTGCCTCTGCCGACCTCTCAGTCCCCGTCAGTCACACGTCTGATGACTCCAGCGCTCAGACTAACTGGAGTCTTTGTGCAAAACAAGGAGAGATATAATTACTTCTGTGGGCAACACTCAATCCAGACTTGTCGTACCGATGTGAAAAGAGGCGTCGAGCGCAGACACTAATTGTTGCTCATGTGAATGAAAGCTGATACGACAGATCAGTTGCCTGTTTGCTTTTATTATCGCACAAACACTATTTTTTTTTCCCCCTTCTTCAGGACAGAGAGCCTGAGGGCCTCATTCTTCTCCTCAGTGAAAGGTTATCGTCTAAATCAGCTGCGGAAAGAAACGCTTCAATTTAACCAAACCACGCCGTTTAAATAAAATGCAAATATAAATAACAGGTGTGTATTTAAACTTTAGAGGGAAAAAAGGCTTCATTTATTTCTAGAATGTAGGAGCAAGTTGCCAAATGATAAGACAGAGACGAGAGTTTAGTTCAGGTCAACGCTGGAGGAAAATGAATGGAGGCCAAAAAAAA